AATTCTTTGCAATTGAACTGCTGAAAATGAAACCAAAATTCTATGCATGTATGATATAACTTTGTGGTCTCTTTCACGAATTGCTATTGAGTTTGCAGATCGGTATAACACCGCCCTCGTTTGCCACAGATGGCTTTTCCTGGCATGTCATCCTCGTCTTTGGCTGCGAGTAGACCGGTCTGTCAAAGACTTGTCTCAGCCTGGAGTTTTTCCCAACATTGAAGTAGCAGTCTCTGCTGCAAGGTTAGTAACGATTCATTTCCTTATATTTCGTTCAGGGTGATAAAGTAAGCTTGGAAAGCCTCATCAAGACTATCTATGTGCCATGTAGGCCTGGTGACACAATTCTTATTGCAGCCGGGGGAGCTCATATTGCTTCTAACATTCAGATTAGAAAGCCACTCTGCCTGGTATGTCTGAGGCTTTTTTTTATTTGAAATGTCACTATAATGTGAAATTTATGCTTGCTAGGTATTTGACTTGCCCTACTGAAAACAGCTCTGACATGCTTCTAGTTTATGGCTTTATGCTAATATATTTTTGATACAACTGCTGATTTTCTTGCCCTGTGTTTCTGTTTAGAGGTTTCCTCTCTCATCAATAAGCTATGAAGCATGGACACGGCAAATTCAGTGCTATAGCGGTGTCGGAAATGGGGACATGCCATGGACACATACAGGACACGCCATTTGGCTTGTCCCCCTTTTTTTTGTTTTTTGTTTTTTTTTTTGGGTTTGGGACACAGCGGGGACATGGCAAGGAAATCAGAAGAGAAGAAAGAGAGAAGAGAGGAGAGAAAGAGAGAAGAGAGGAGTGACCTGGTATTTGCCCTAACCAGAAGAGATGATGAACTTGACAAGCGACGAGCGACAACCTCGATCTCCATCTGTCTTTGTCTTGCCTTCAATCTCAACAAACAATGACGACTTTTGAAAGTCCGACGACCTTCTACGAGCGACACCTTCGATTTCTCACTCTATCTCTCTCTCGCTCACCTTCGAGAGCTTTGTTTCTCTCATCTCTCCATCTTTGATCAAGATCTGTGACATATATATATATATATAACCTAGAATATTAGTATATAGATATATATGTATGTATATATATTTTTATTTATATTTTTATAAATTATACTTATATATAATATGTATATATATATATGTTTTTATTTGTATATTATATATATAGCCTTTATAAATTATATATATATATATATATTTGTTTTAATTTATATGTATTTATTTATATATTATATTTATTGAATTAATGTTATTATGTTAGTTTTTGTTAGCAAATAAAAAAATATATATAAATATATGTATATTTGATGTGTCTCCCGTTGTGTCCGTGCCCCCATTTTTTGAAAATTGCCGTGTCCCGTGTCCGTGTCTGTACCTGTGTTCGTGTTCGTATCCGTGTCCGTGCTTCATAGTCAATAAGGTTTCAAAAATCATGTTAATTTTCCTCTCATAGATGGTTGTGGGTTGTAGTAATTTCAATTGGTGTCTGAGCATCTGATGCTGCGCATATTGTTTGCTTTTGTTTATAGTCCCTTGTCTTTCTTATTATGGGTTGATATCTACTCTTGGTTATAGTTATCAGTGAATATTTCTGTTCACGTCATTGATTGATAATTAAGTTCTTGTAACTTAAGATCGATACTGTAACATGCATGTATTCTAGCCTATTTAGAATTTTTTGTTTCTAAGTAAGGAATTCCATTAGTCCTGCTGATATTTTTGTGGTTTTTGGCAACAAAAACCAAATTTACTATATTTCTGTTGTGAATCCATGCTTGTGAAAACCAAGTTGGATGAAGTTTCTTGGGTTTCCAGAGCTGGAAAAGTGGTTTTAAAAGTCTACAAAAGCTATGTTTATTTGAGCTTGCTTACTGGGCTTTCCCTTTTTAATCTCAGCACCATAGACCATTGTACACATTTCCTGCTTAATTCAAGGACGCCCTACTTAACTGTATACCAGAGTGTAGAAATGTAATTCTTGAATACAGAACATTACCATGTGCATGTTTTACCTCATCTTTTTCCAGATTGGTGGAGGTGAGCTTCCAGATGATACAACACTTACCTGTTCTCGAGGCTCAGACAGGTTTGCAAGTTTTTATTGTGCCTCTTACTTGTACTCAGTAGCTTATGGGAATTTTAGGAGCCACTTCCGAGCTGGTGAATTTGGCAGTTATTTTTGTTTAAAGGGAATCACCTCTGAGCCCCAAGGCTGAAGGTGGCAGGCAAATGCTTAGTGTATGGGGCCCATGACTAGGTTAGCCTTGCCTGATTCAATCCCTGGAATTTTTTGGGTACATGTTGGACTATATGATTTTAGAATTTTCTCCACTTGATGATAACATTTTGTAAAATATTCAAGATGTGAAAACTTACATTTGGTAAAATTATTCAAGATGCAGTGGCTTTTTTTTTTTAATTTTTAGTGTTGTAAAGTGAAAATTTATTCTAAATGTTTTCAAAAACTTGAATTTTAAAATAGATTTATCTTTCAAGATTTCTATTAAATGTAAAAAGCAATCTGGTTTTTATGCCAAGTCAATCAGAAAAAAGTGGTTGGGGTTGGCTCCTAGATACTCGTTAGTGTTTGTTTTCACTGCTGACAAAATAAATTGTACGCACTGTTCCTTGTGTTTGGGCAGTGCATTGGAGTTCCTGTCCACCTGCAAAGTCGCAAACTTAACGGTGAAGGCAGAGCTAGGCTGCTGCTTGCTTCATAGGAGTGGGAGGCTGATAATTGATGGGTGTATTCTTCAATGCGAGTCCAACCCCTTAGATTACCTTTCATATGCGATCGTGAGCACAGCCAATGGCCCTGAGGTCTTCCCATCCTTGGTGAATAATGGTCGTGGCGATGGCGTCTCCGTTTCTCGCACTCGTATCGAAGGAGGTGCAAAGGCAGTTTCAACAAGTGGAACCCTGGCAGTGCAGCGAGTTCGAGTTATTTATGCTCGAACTTCTGTCTTTTTCTGGTTTGATGTAGAGCAACATTGATCATAGTAATCTCCCTTGCTCTTCTGTATTACTATTAGCTGTTGTTAGTTGGACACTTATTTTATTTATTTTATTTTATTTTTTTGTGTGGTTATTTTCTTCTTTCTCTTTTTCAATTTGAGGATAGTGTGTTTCGTACTATTTTTAAAGTTAATGTGAAATGATATGCTTCATTGTGCTCTGTTTCCATGTGTATTATTGTGTTCTTCATGGAAAGCTATACACCACCAACTTCTCCTCTAGGACAAAAAAGAAGAATATATTTTGAAAAGCCTATTGCAGCGGCATTCCAGACCTTGGCTCAAGTGGTGCTACTGTTGAGTGTTGATGTTGGACCAGAAATTAGGTTTTCATTTTGCGGTTTTTGGTCACTTGTTTTTGTTGGATTCTCTGAGAGGAAATTGTCTGGGTTGCATAGAATCTGTTTTGCTGATGCTTCATCAGAGGTATAGTTTTGTTTGTAGTTTTTTTGTTTGAAGCTTTTAGATCTTTTCAAGCGTATTTAATTGATCTTTCAAAGATGCACCATTCTAGTAGAGTTTGGATTGCTGCATCTTAAGTGGGGCTGGAACTGTTTAGATCTATGAAACAGATTTGGTCTTTCAGATTAAGATAAATGAACATATGGTTTTATCTATTGAACATCTAAATGGGACTGCTGTGATTTCAAGTTTCTATGGTGGAGAAAGGATTTGTGAGATGGTGCTCCCTTGTTGGACTGGAGTTTTTCAAGTCATAATGGTTTGAGCTAGATTCTGTACTTGTCTCATTCAGCTGTGTATAACCTGATTGTTATAGTTTAGAGTTTATTCTTGGCTATTGTGAGCAAGGGCTGGTTTTTTATATGGGTTTTTGTATATTCATGGCCTTTTCCATGGCTATATACAAATTATTTCGTTTATAGTCCTATTGTTCACCTTGAATAGCCCAAGCTAAGAATTTCTGTATTTTAAGTTAGGCAGTGTTGAGTGGATGTTGTAAAATTATTGTAAATGTGTAGCGTTTTGAGTCTTAAACCTTATTTATGTTAATTAGTACCTGTTACCTTGTATACTTGCATTGTTTTTGGACTATTAGAAACGAGAGGTTTATATTTGACCTTTTAATTATTATAATTGAGACTTCCTTACAAATGTTGAGAGCCTTGATTAATGTGTTAACCTGATGGTTGGGCAAGACTGGATTAAAAAATTTAAATTCAGATATATGTTTGAGTAGTTTTCACCTTTTTTGCTCTTTCCTATCTCCACATTTTGAATCTTCACGTGAGACTAGAACCATTAAGAATCTTACTTATGGGGCTTCAATTTAGACACATGAATTGTCCAAATTGGAATTTGGGCGAGAAAGTTATATCTATTTAAAGTTCAGGCACCAAAGCAATTAGCATAGTTTGTTCTAGCAAACTTTTGGCTGCTTGAGCAGTTCGTATAACTGAACAACTCTGATTTGCAAAAATAGAGGTATTGATAGTACCCATTCACTGCTAGAGCAAACTTTTGACTATTCGATCATTTGTTCAACTTTAGTGCGTCAAATCATGTACTTCTAGTCAAATTTGTGGGGCCAAAGCTACTTGCTTATATTATATATAGACTTTCGATATTTTCACACCTCTCTCTCTCTCTCTCTCTCTACTCACTTTTCTTTATCTACCTTCTCTTCACCGTTAATGGTCCATTCAAGCTTAGATCTACCCTAGCTAGAGTTAGAATAAATAAAAACTCAAACTTTAACATTGTAAAGCATAACGAGGGCTTCATATCACCATAGTTGATATTCTTTTCGTTAGCTTTCAAGTTTTCTTCCTTCTTCTCTTCTCTCTTTGAGGTAGGGTTTTTCTCAATATGGGGCTTATATGTGTATGTGTAGTAATTTTGATAGATTACATTGAGGTATTGATAGAGAATATGAAAAAAAATGCATGATAGAGAGTTGAGGTTTGGAATCGATTGTGTATTTTTTTTTTTTTTTTTTTAATCAAGGCTGAAGGTGGCAGGCAAATGCTTAGTGTATGGGGCCCATGACTAGGTTAGCCTTGCCTGATTCAATCCCTGGAATTTTTTGGGTACATGTTGGACTATATGATTTTAGAATTTTCTCCACTTGATGATAACATTTTGTAAAATATTCAAGATGTGAAAACTTACATTTGGTAAAATTATTCAAGATGCAGTGGCTTTTTTTTTTTAATTTTTAGTGTTGTAAAGTGAAAATTTATTCTAAATGTTTTCAAAAACTTGAATTTTAAAATAGATTTATCTTTCAAGATTTCTATTAAATGTAAAAAGCAATCTGGTTTTTATGCCAAGTCAATCAGAAAAAAGTGGTTGGGGTTGGCTCCTAGATACTCGTTAGTGTTTGTTTTCACTGCTGACAAAATAAATTGTACGCACTGTTCCTTGTGTTTGGGCAGTGCATTGGAGTTCCTGTCCACCTGCAAAGTCGCAAACTTAACGGTGAAGGCAGAGCTAGGCTGCTGCTTGCTTCATAGGAGTGGGAGGCTGATAATTGATGGGTGTATTCTTCAATGCGAGTCCAACCCCTTAGATTACCTTTCATATGCGATCGTGAGCACAGCCAATGGCCCTGAGGTCTTCCCATCCTTGGTGAATAATGGTCGTGGCGATGGCGTCTCCGTTTCTCGCACTCGTATCGAAGGAGGTGCAAAGGCAGTTTCAACAAGTGGAACCCTGGCAGTGCAGCGAGTTCGAGTTATTTATGCTCGAACTTCTGTCTTTTTCTGGTTTGATGTAGAGCAACATTGATCATAGTAATCTCCCTTGCTCTTCTGTATTACTATTAGCTGTTGTTAGTTGGACACTTATTTTATTTATTTTATTTTATTTTTTTTGTGTGTTAATTTCTTCTTTCTCTTTTTCAATTTGAGGATAGTGTGTTTCGTACTATTTTTAAAGTTAATGTGAAATGATATGCTTCATTGTGCTCTGTTTCCATGTGTATTATTGTGTTCTTCATGGAAAGCTATACACCACCAACTTCTCCTCTAGGACAAAAAAGAAGAATATATTTTGAAAAGCCTATTGCAGCGGCATTCCAGACCTTGGCTCAAGTGGTGCTACTGTTGAGTGTTGATGTTGGACCAGAAATTAGGTTTTCATTTTGCGGTTTTTGGTCACTTGTTTTTGTTGGATTCTCTGAGAGGAAATTGTCTGGGTTGCATAGAATCTGTTTTGCTGATGCTTCATCAGAGGCATAGTTTTGTTTGTAGTTTTTTTGTTTGAAGCTTTTAGTTCTTTTCAAGCGTATTTAATTGATCTTTCAAAGATGCACCATTCTAGTAGAGTTTGGATTGCTGCATCTTAAGTGGGGCTGGAACTGTTTAGATCTATGAAACAGATTTGGTCTTTCAGATTAAGATAAATGAACATATGGTTTTATCTATTGAACATCTAAATGGGACTGCTGTGATTTCAAGTTTCTATGGTGGAGAAAGGATTTGTGAGATGGTGCTCCCTTGTTGGACTGGAGTTTTTCAAGTCATAATGGTTTGAGCTAGATTCTGTACTTGTCTCATTCAGCTGTGTATAACCTGATTGTTATAGTTTAGAGTTTATTCTTGGCTATTGTGAGCAAGGGCTGGTTTTTTATATGGGTTTTTGTATATTCATGGCCTTTTCCATGGCTATATACAAATTATTTCGTTTATTGTCCTATTGCTCACCAAGCTAAGAATTTCTGTATTTTAAGTTTGACTGTGTTGAGTGGATGTTGTAAAATTATTGTAAATGTGTAGCGTTTTGAGTCTTAAACCTTATTTATGTTAATTAGTACCTGTTACCTTGTATACTTGTATTGTTTTTGGACTCTTAGAAACGATAGGTTTATATTTGACCTTTTAATTATTATAATTGAGACTTCCTTACAAATGTTGAGAGCCTTGATTAATGTGTTAACCTGATGGTTGGGCAAGACTGGATTAAAAAATTTAAATTCAGATATATGTTTGAGTAGTTTTCACCTTTTTTGCTCTTTCCTATCTCCACATTTTGAATCTTCACGTGAGACTAGAACCATTAAGAATCTTACTTATGGGGCTTCAATTTAGACACATGAATTGTCCAAATTGGAATTTGGGCGAGAAAGTTATATCTATTTAAAGTTCAGGCACCAAAGCAATTAGCATAGTTTGTTCTAGCAAACTTTTGGCTGCTTGAGCAGTTCGTATAACTGAACAACTCTGATTTGCAAAAATAGAGGTATTGATAGTACCCATTCACTGCTAGAGCAAACTTTTGACTATTCGATCGTTTGTTCAACTTTAGTGCGTCAAATCATGTACTTCTAGTCAAATTTGTGGGGGCCAAAGCTACTTTTATCACACTCTCTCTCCTTAAAATCTCACTCACTTTTCTTTACTCTACCTTCTCTCCACCATTAATGGCCCATTCAAGCTTAGATCTACCCTAGCTAGAGTTAGAATAAATAAAAACTCAAACTTTAACATTGTAAAGCATAACGAGGGCTTCATATCACCATAGTTGATATTCTTTTCGTTAGCTTTCAAGTTTTCTTCCTTCTTCTCTTCTCTCTTTGAGGTAGGGTTTTTCTCAATATGGGGCTTATATGTGTATGTGTAGTAATTTTGATAGATTACATTGAGGTATTGATAGAGAATATGAAAAAAAATGCATGATAGAGAGTTGAGGTTTGGAATCGATTGTGTATTTTTTTTTTTTTTTTTTATAATTTACCTATCGAACTTATTTTTCTTGTATAAAATAGCAAGAGGGTATTGTAATTGGAGAAAACTCCAATTTTATAGAAACCCTAATTTTATAAAATCATGAAATTGTATCTATATCTTGAAATTGAGGATAAGTGCATGTAATTTATGAAATTATAGCATTGGTAGAAATTGTATTGTTGGCCCTTCTCAACTTTCTCCAAAATGTGTTCAACACCACCTTTGTTCAACAATGGGTTTTCTATATATGAATTCAACACTTCATAATTCGATAAAATGAGTTTTAGTTTATCCTATGATGATAAATTCAACAATATGTGTTGCACATTTATTTAAACATCATGGTTTTAAATTGAATAATGGTGGTGAATTCAGGTCATGTATAGGTAAGAATGAGAATGAGAATAAGTTTGTGTGAGAGTCCACGATGAAAGACTGAAAATCTGTGCAAAGTAGGTGTGACAACTAACCATTCATGCATAATGTATATCATGTTATTGCATTTGTCCTTGTGTTATATGCTATATGTGAAATGAGACTTATCAGGATTAGAAAAGAGAAGGAGAAGTTAGTTTGAAACCTTATGTCTATGACTTATTTGCTTTGTGCCTTGGGTTAGGAAATGACATTAGACTTGATTTGAGAATGATACGATATGCCTTAACTCTAATTGAGGAGCTTAAAGGTTGTAGTCTAATGTGCTTGTCCATTTCATGCTATATGATTTTTTGCTAATTAGGATTACTATTAATTATAATTAGTGAGCCTTAATTAGGATTAACTAAGTTAAGTATGATTAAAATTAAACCTAGATTAAGGCCTCATTTGGCAACTCAATATTTTAGTCTAAAAGTCAAAAAGTCACTAAAAAAATTAAAAAACCAACTTATACAAAAAAGTCAAAGATTTCATTTTCTTTCTATTTTTTGCACATTTTTTTGTAAAAAACCAAAAAATCATTTCAAACATACTAATTTGTTTTATCTCATATTTTAGCCAAAAAATCAAAAAGTTACTAAAATAACATGTTCCCAAACAAGTCCTAATTAGTACAAACCTTAGTTAACTAAGTTAAATAAGTAAGATTAGTTAAGCTAAGCAAACAAAAATTAGATACTTTGATTAAGCCAATCAAAGCCATTAGATACTTTGTTTTATCTCATGTTCCTTTTTGTCCCAAGTAGTCTCTCTTATTTCTACCTCATAAAAGGCAATCTAAGTCAAACAGAGATGAAAATCTGCTGGAAAAGAGAAGAAAGAGCTAGAGAAAGGGAGAAAGAAGAGAGAAAAGAAGAGGAACCCAAGAATTTCACCAAAACTCATCCTTTAACCAAGGCAAGGTAAGATTTCAATTTCAAAACTTGTAGTAAACCCTCCTGACATCTAAGAACAAGAAGAAATTAGGATTAATTTGAGTTAGAAATGAAGAAATTTGGAAAAGAATGAGAAAAGTTAGGTTAGATTGAAGAACTAGGTAGGAAGTTTAGAAATTCATCTTCTTGATTAAGTTTTTGATGTTCATGATACATTTAGGTTTTCATCTTCATATGTTCCCTTGATTTCCAATGATTTTGCAAGCTAACTTTAGGTTTTAAAGGAATGAAAAGGAAGGGTTTTGATACAAACTTGGAACAACGAAATTTTCAACAAAACTTGAAGTTTTATCTTTGAATCTTGAAACCAAGTTAAGTTTTAATGTTATCGATTTGGAAATCAATCATTCTTTCATGTTTGTCATTAAATTTACAAAAGGTTACATTGATGTGATTAGGGACATATACGAATGTGTGGTGACCACTATTAGATCGCCTACTGGAAGGATAAGTGAATTTCCAATTACTGTGGGGTTGCACTAAAGATTTATCTTAAGTCCTTATTTTTGTGCTTTAGTTAAGGATGAGTTGACGAGAAATATTCAAGATGATATGTCATAGTGCATGCTTTTTGCAGATAATATTGTGTTAATGGATAAGACAAGAGAAGAAGTTAATACTAAGTTGGAGACTTGGAGAGAAGCACTCGAATCTAAAGGATTTAGGATAAGCAAAACTAAGACATAGTACATTGAGTGTAATTTTAGTAACATTAACAATGAAAGCAAAGGAGAAGTGAAGATTGAGAACCAAGAACCAAGAACTACCTAAGAGTGAACATTTTCGTTATTTAGGATTAATTATCACAACTGTTTTGGAGATTGGAGTGGATGTGGTCCATAGAATTAAGATAGGGTAACTTAAGTAGAGGAGTGCATCTAGGGTACTGTGTAATAAATGAGTACCTACTAGACTAAAAAAAAAATGTTTGATACAACGACTATTAGACCAGCGATGTTGTATGGGCCAGAATGTTAAGAATCAACATGTAGATAAGATGAGTGTTTTTGAGATGAGGATGCTAAGGTAGATGTGTGGCAAAACTAGAAACGACAAAGTTAGGAATGAGTATATTCAAGAATGGGTAGGAGTAGTACCAATAGAAGATAAGTTGAGAGAGAATGGATTGAGATGGTATGGTCATATACAATGGAGACCAACAGAGGTAGTAGTGAAGAGATGCAATACAGTGACGGTAGATGAAAGTGTTAGAAGAAGGGGCAAACCTAGATTAACGTGGGCTAGTGTAGTAAATAAAGATATGAATCTCCTTTACTTGACTAACCAAATGGCCGTTGATAGAGTCGAGTGAAAAAGAATGATTTATGTAGCCGACCCCATTTGATGGGACTTAAGGCTTGGTTTTGTTTGGTTTTTGGTTTAGGTTAAAGTTTGCTTGAGCCCTAGCCTTAGAATCAAGAAAAGAACACTTAGAACTTGAAAGAACTTTGGATAGGGTTGTTTTTCCTAGTTCTGCTCGTGTCGCTGAGAGCAACGCATGTATGGCCAGGTCTCCAGAACACTTGATCAATTCTGAAAAAAAAGACACGTGCGGGCCGCACGTGCCCTACCTGTCCCCCCACATGCGGTTTGAGCCCCACACATGCGAAAATCCCCTATTTTGCGTACAAATTTGTTTGGAAGCCTCTTTCACATAGGACACTCCTAGTACATATTTAACATTTATTTGGTACCCAAACTAGACCTAGAACAACACCAAACACATGAAACAAATCTATGGAAAACATTTAGCAAAGTTTAGACACTCAAATTGTCATGTTTGTATAAGTTTGTTTAGCATTTCAACTTGTTTCGTGTTGGTCGAGCTTCGGAAAAGAATAACTATTGTTCAAAGAGCCATCTGTGAGTAGTAGTG